GCTTGTGTGAATGTGTTTTGTACATACATTTCTATTCTTATTTGACGTTAGTTTTGTTGTTGCCATTCTTTGGNTCCTGTGGTATCAGCGCACTAACCGAGCGCAATAGCGCAGTGTACTGAATTGAACACGGCGCCATCTGAGTCTCACCACAGTACCCATCGTCATACAGTGCAGTACACCTTACAGTGGTGTCATGTCTATTATTTCTACAATTTTCGGCGCTGAGCAACGCTTGTNGCCTTTACTTTTCCTGTTATTCTCTTTTAGTGAGAGCGTTTTGCTTACGCTCTGGCATTTTGACTTTTTTCAGATTTTAGTCCAAAAAGATAAGGAATGAACCCATGAACCAATTAGAACAGATCTGACCGGTTGAGAAGCAGCCATTTGCAATAGCAATTGGNAGAACAGATTTTTTTTTTATTTAATATCAAAATTTCATCTTTCAAATGAAAATATGTCTGTCAAACTATCGAATTGCCTGGAATAGATCTCAAGCAATAAGCGCTGACATATATCTATTGTCATCTGGTGTCATTTGCGTTTGTTGTCATATATCACTAAGCACGGTCATATAAAATGACATCCAAATGCAAACGGCCCTCGCCGCTGATGCGGCAGCATTTGACAACCAAAATGTATTTGCCAACATGCCATGCGAACAGCTGATTATAGCTACAATACGAACCGTTTAGCTACAAAAAAACCACGCTGATTTCAAATTATTTGGGGCAAGTAAAAAACAAACAAAATATAATAGGTTATGGGCTGTTTTTGCTTACGCGTAAAAGCATATTTAGCGCATTTAGCTCTAAATGCTACTCTAAATGTACATTTATCCATACAAAATTCGTCACCTAAATGCAATTAAATGCAACTCCATGTTTGCATTAAGAATCTAAATGCTAAAAGCAACCCTGTGATCTTCCAAAATTTCCACGATTCGAACATGGTTTAATGAGAAAAAGTGGCAAGATTGCATTTTCGAGTATACAGTGGCTAGCTGCGTTTCAGTGATCGCCGATCGAGATTCCATTTATTATTTTACATTATTTGGATAAAGAAAAGTTAAGAAAATTCAATATCGATGTGATGCTGATAGAAATCTGGATCAATTTGTGATCAATTCTGTTTGTTTTGTTTCCTAATTAAGTGAGGAAATTTTAATTGACAACACCGACAAATGAATATATACATAAACAAATGGTCGGTCGTGGTTAAAACAATTCAAATTTTTGTATTGAAGTTTTGGTTTAAAATTTGTTTTTTCCTTTTCAGTAGGGATTTTGCACATTATCTTCTGCGTGAGAATTGATCGTAATAGATACGGATCTGAATAAGCGACTGGAACACGGCTGTTTGTCAAAAGCATACGATTTCGAACTCGCGTAAATGTACATTTGCTAAATGCGATAGCATGAACGCTCTTCGAAAACATATGTTCGAAAGTGCTAAATGTTGCATTTTAAATGTAGCTAAAAGGTCGGTATTCTACACTTTGTAAAAATTTAACGTCACATTTGACATCAGGATTTACCAGTTCTTGTCATAGCGATTGGTGGTTACGTTGGTAATGCAGTTAAAATATTCAGCAATTCAGTATGAAGAATTGTGGAAACTCTGGCATTGTTCATTTCACGGGGCAA